TTACTTCAATAAAGCTTTACGATTTCAGAAAGGTCTTAGCCTTCTACATATAAAGTGGTTATGTGTGTGTTTATATAAACACACATGTATATATATTTTAAAGATTTTATTTATTTTTGTATAGAACTGGGATACAGGCCAGAGGTGTGGTGGGGGTGGTGAGAGGACTCACCAGAGACAGAGTAGGGAGCAGAACAGGCATATCTACTGAAACACACTGCTAAGGGGTCTGCTGTGCCATGTGCGTTATTAGCTCTGTGGCCAGGAATCAAACTAGGCCATGATGGTGGGACTCTGTGGTGGAAGCACTGAGACTTAACCACCTAGGCCATCAGGGTGTGGCTCCAATAATTATAACAGTATATGTAACCCTCAAAACTTAACACTGTAGCTTAAAGCAAGCAAAATGTGGCATAACAACAATGTGCTGGGGCCTCTCTGGTGGTGCGAGGGGTTAAGTCTCTGCATTATGAAGTCTGATCCCCAGTCAGGGCTAACCCACATGGTGCAGATCTTTTCTGTCTCAGCCACTGCTCCCCTCAGCGTGTATTTCAGTCAGTTCACCTGTTCTGTTCCCCATTCCGTCTGTTGAATTCTCTCACTGTTCCCCCGCCCCTGCACCTCTGGCCTATATGCATAAATAAGTAAATCTTAAAAAAATAATGACTACAATGTGCTGGTAGCCTGTAGTTCTTCACCACAGGGCTCCATATCATAATGGGGGAAACTGGTTCTGTGGCTCTGCACTTTGACCAAGCTTGAATGGAAGACAGCCAAGTTAGATGAGGGTCAAGAATGCTCCTTCCAGGTCCTCTCAGGGGCTGAAAAAAATCTTAGTGACATTTTCTAGGGAATCACAATTCTGTCCAAAGTCATTGTGGCTCAGAGGACCTCAGGCCGCTGATATTTCCAGAAGGCCACCTCCCCATCATCACTGCAGGAGGCCAGGAGGCCTGGCTCTCTGGGGTTCCAAGCCACACAGTTGACATCCTGGGAATGGGCTTGAGGCAAGTGGGCTGTCAAGGAGAAGGTAGGCTGCTGTGGATCTGAGCCGGGGTCTTCCTCAAACACCCGGATGGCATCATCCCCACAAGCTGTAGCCAGAGCCCCTGTCAGCTGACACCTGGGAGGAACATAGCTGTCAGTATGTAAGCAGGTGGCTTCTCTATCCCCAACCCCGCAAATCAGGTAAAAGTGATTAGTGCTATAATCCCTGGCCTGCTCTCCCCAAACTTCAGGTCTCAGCACAAGTGTTTTATGGAAGAACTTCCCCAACTAACACCTAACCATGAACATCACCCCCCTAAGTCTTCAAGTGTAGACATCTAGCTTTCCCTTGATATAATCAGCTTAAAAACACTACATACAATTCCGAACTGTACTTTTCTCTCTTAGCATAAGTAGTTTCTCTTGGCATGGAGTATTCTTGATCATTTTTTTTAACAGTGATATAATAGGCCACTAGATTTTACCATGCTTAAGACTATTTTCAAGTATCATTCTCAAATGCTAATATAAATAAAGCACTGATGCACATCACAATTTTCATTTTTTAGGATTATTTGTTCAGGATAGATTCTCAGGGTCAGGACTATCCTCTGATGAATCCTCCTATATAAATCTTGTCACTTTTCTAGACTTCCTAAGGGTAGTTTTTTTTTTTTCCCCCATAAAATAACAAAGTGGGGTGTAGCAATGGAGGCTGATGGGGGAGCGCTCAGCCAGTGTTACTGGTCCTTCACTGCACTGCTTGCTGCTCTGGCCAGGCTGACAAGAAGCCAGTGCCCTGTCAGTTCTGCCAGTAGCTGGTGAACAAGTTCAACCACATAGGCCAGAGACTCAGGGTGCCAGGTGGTGGGGTACAAAGGCAGCAGGATCAGAGAGCACCAGGGATGCCGGATTCAGGGGAAGACCACCATGGGAAAAAAAAAGTGATGAATCCACAATTTCAGTAATATTACTGGATGGTACAGTGCTGTGACTACTACAAGCTGGAGCTGCTCCCAGACTATGATCTTAACATAGGTGCAGGCCTGGGTCTAAATCTGTTCCCTGCTCCCATGGACCCTCAGGTCAGCCAGCAGTAAGCCATCATTGTGGCCAGTTTGGCCTAATCTGAAGATAACAGGATGGTTTCCAATGGTCTCCCCAAAGGTTGCAGAGATCAAGACGGGGTCTAAGCGTCTCTAAATTCTATACAATACAGGGAGGAGTGGGATTAGATGGGGGGGATGGAGGTCTTACCAAGCGACATCATAAATGGTCCTGGAGTGGAAGCCTGACAGTGTGCAGATACATTTCCAGCTGGGGTCAGAGCCGCTGCACGCCACCCCTGCAGACAGATTTCCTTTAAGCCTAAGGTGTGTGTCTTGGGCACCTCAAAGGAGTGAGTGGCCCACTGCAGAGGAAATCCTAACTTGTCCTCCCTTACCTCCCCCTTCAACCATGAGTCCATAGTCTCATTCCTCTGTCCCCATTCTTGCTGATCTGTCTTAAACATTATGGCCAGACTGGTATTTTTATAGCAGAATTCTGAGAATAGGAACAGGAAGTATTCTATTCTTTAAAAAACCCTGCCTGCCTTTTAAGGCCACCCACCTGCCAGCCTTTCTCCCAAAACCCTTTGTACCCTACGTTCCCTCTAAATGAATCACTCTTCCTGGAGGAAATCTGGCTTTCCCACCTTCAATGCTTTTTCTCATGCTGCTCTATTTTCATCCACAATTTTCTTTTCATGTAAATCCTATGCACCCTTTCAAGTTTGAATGAAATGGCTACTCTTTCCACAAAGCTTTCCCTGATTCTTCTAGACTATCTGGGGCCCTCTCATGGCACACCTTACTTTCTATCCTGACTTGCTGCCATTTGCCTATGTGTCCTAGTCCCTAGGAGATGAGTCTTATTTTGCTCTCTCACTGGTACCTTACCTTGCTCGTTGTCTGGTAGGTACTGGCGCCAGATGCGTATAGTACGGTCATCGCTACAAGATGCCAGGCGCTGGCCACTGGGGTCAAAGGCCAAGCTCCACACGGTGGATTCATGGCCCTCAAGGGTGGCACAGCATATCCAATCATCCTCTTCCTCTCGGTAGAGCTTCACTGAGTCATCATAGCTTGCAGAGGCTAACAGCTGGGGTGGGATTGGGGGTAGGGAAAACACACTTGTCTGTATGGTGTATTAAGTACCTATACTTCCAATATCTCTCCCTGCTAGGGCAAAGCAGGCCTAGTTATCTGTTTTTTATAAAGGGATTAATGTTTCTGGGTCATAGAGATCCCTGTAAAAGTCAGGTTGAGGCTGTGAAGCAGAAGAAAGGTGGGCATAACCCTTCTCAACAAGACACTTCTTACCTCCTGGTTTGGATGCCAAACCACATGCTTTACATCCTGTGTATGGGAGTTGAGGACACTGACACATTCATACTCATCATCTTCATCAACTGTGAAAGGAAACCAAAAAATGGCCCATGAGCTGACTTTGTTGGGACACAGGGGGATAACTGTCTAATTGTTCCTAATTGCATTCAGAGAGACTTGGACTCACCTTCCCAGACCCATACACTCTTATCTCGACTGCAGGTGGCGAGGAGGTTTCCAGACGGGGCCCAAGCCACTGACTTGACTTCATTTTCGTGGCCTTCCAGAGTGGTTACACACTGGAAAGGGGAAATGGGAAAGAATTAATAGTAGCTAAGGATCCTTGGGGGTCCTTTTCATGAGTATAGTTAAACTTGCGTAGGTTCCAGAACCAGTCCTGGAAAAGCAACCGTGCAACAACCCTCACCCTCTCTCACCAGGCTACCTCAAAGTCATCCTGATTCTTCTTCCAAATGCAAGTGGTAGCATCAAAGCTCGCAGAGGCCAGATAATTCCCACAGGGAGACCAAGCCACCTTCCGCACAGTGCGTTGGTGGCCTTCAGAAAGAACTGATTTGCAGATCCAGCTATCACCTAGAAGCAGAGTATAGGTCAAGCTCTGGAACTGGTGCTGAAGCACTATCAATGCCATCTGATAATGGGAACTAAGCTAGTACTGGAGGCAAGCTGGGAAGCAAAGCTCAACCGCTGTATTTAACAAGCTATTAGGAAGCTGTAACTGACCACTTCTGAGGCATCCTGCTAAAACAAATCCGAAGTGTCATCCTCGTTTTAGTTTTAAATCTATCAGTGGCTCCCAAATGCCCTTCAGATAGAATTTAAACGTCACCAATCTGTTGCATTACACTACAGGCTACTCTCTGAAAATCCTCTCATTTTCCTGCCTCAGCAACTGTCACAATTCCCTCAACAGTACCAGTATGTCTACTGACGTTTGGGCTTCAACAGTGTCCCACTCCTTTGCCCAGAGTTTTTCTCAGAGTGGTTAACGTCCCAGTCAAATCATCCTGATTCTTCTTCCAAGTGCAAATGGCATCTACCGCTTCTCCCTTGACCTGTAACCTCGATCCAGGTCGGCATGCCCTGCGAACCCACACTATCTGCACGCAGAACGCTCGGGGCAAGGGGCACACTGTTAGGCTGGGCCTTACCCTCCGCGCCCCAGATGCGAACTCTACGGTCGCCACCGCACGAGGCCAGCAGCGTTCCGGCAGGGTTCCAGGCCAGGAACCAGCAACGGGAGTCCGGGTGTGCCGGGACACGGCCCAGCAGCAACAGCGAGTCCTTCATGGCGGCCCAACGCAGGATAAAGAAGAGATGGGCAAATTCTGCCGCGCCGTCTGCAGGTCGCACCGCAGAAAACGCCGCAACCTCGACTCCAACCTCCAATGGTCGCCAGGTCCGGCTAGTTCCGCCCGAGGGCCCGGATTGTCTTGGGAACTTAAGTGCCCGCTGCGGCGGCCGCGTTGCCCTCTGGGAGTTGTAGTAGACCTCCGACCCCTAGAGGAAAGCATCGCGGGATCGCTGCTGACTACTAGTCCCGTGAGGCCCTGCGCAGGGAGCCGGCGGCGCGCCCGGGCTGTGACGCGCACGGGAGACTGGGAGGGGAGCCGGAGGAGGCGGTGGCAGAGGAGGAGGAGGAAGCCGGAAGTGGAGAGGGCCCGGGTAGGACCGGGCGTTGCGGGATTGGGCCTGAGGTCTCTCGGCCCGGGGCTGCTGAGGAGCCGGTGGCTAGGCGGAGCAGCACCATCCCGGCCCTGGGGCTTGCTGACTGGTGAGGAAAAGCGACAGCCTAGGGAGGCTCCTTTCTGTGCTCAGGTCGCACCCCCAGAGCGCCGTTCCTAGATCCCGAGTCCCTGATCCCCGCGGCCCAGCCCTGCTCTCCGCCCCTCAGCACCCTCCGGCCGAAACCCCGGGTCTCTCGCTCACCAGCAGCGGATATCTCCGTGCCTCGCAACCTACACGCGGGTCTGCCAAGATCTCGACCGCCCCTTAGTCCTTTCCGGTTCTCCATTCTGCACCTCCGCAACCCTGTTCTAGGACCCCGGTCCCCGCCCCCCAAATTCCCGCAGCCCTCCCGTCTCTCCTCCGCCCCAGGTCCCGCCCCCTATCCTCGGGTGTCGGCTCCTGAGTCGGCTTCACCTGCGGAGAACCCAACGACTTGCTCTCTTGCCCGGGACAGGCAGGGTCTGCACGCCCCGCAGAGGTCGGCGGCAGCCAGCAGCGACCGCGGAGCGACGGCGGGCGGCCCCGGGCATGTACGCCCCGGGAGGCGCAGGGCTGCCCGGAGGGCGCCGGCGGAGGAGCCCGGGAGGCAGCGCTCTGCCCAAGCAGCCAGAGCGTAGTCTGGCCTCGGCCCTGCCGGGCGCCCTGTCCATCACTGCGCTTTGCACGGCACTGGCAGAGCCTGCCTGGCTGCACATCCACGGCGGCACCTGTTCCCGCCAGGAGCTGGGGGTCTCCGACGTGCTGGGCTACGTGCACCCGGACCTGCTGAAAGGTGAGAGCGCAGCGCGCCAGCTCTGTTCTTTCTGAGCGACCCGGCAGGGAGCTGAATGTGAGAGTCGCGGGCAAGCGATTGAAGCCCCATTCTTGCCTACCCACCAGGTGGCTCTGTTTGCGCTCCGGCCCCTCATTAATTCTGATGCTATTCAGCGAAGCACCTTCTCCTCAAGCCAGTGCTAATCTGGACTGCTGCTATTTTAGGATTCTGCTGGAGGAAGGGCACTGTGTATTGAGGAAAGATAAGGGTGCTAGACATCACACTTAACCGCCCGCTTCCAAGGAGCCTGTAGGAAACAAGAAGGTTTCTTTGGGAATCTTGACTGATGGAGAAAAAAGAACTTTTAATATGGCTAGGTTTAAAAAGATATTTTTGTGCTTTATGATAATTGGGTGTTTATTGAGAAAAAGAGGCTGTAGCATTTTAGGTAAACAGAAATCAGTTCCATTGCTGGCAATACAGTTAGAATTTAGCTCTTGTAACCATTACAAGTCTACCCTGGCATAAGACGGTGGAGGTAACTGAGATACAGTTGCTTTATTTGACATCATCCTTCCTAACCAGATAGGCAGAGGAGAGAGAGGAAAGAGCCCTGTCGCAGGGAGCCCTGTCTCTAGTAATGAGGGTGAAGGCTGTGGTGTGCAGGCATGTACTGCCTGGCTTTTACCAGAAAATGGTCACTGGACCCCAACAGCTCTTAGTATCTATTTGGCCCATCACTTCTAAGATCTTTTTGAACCATTATCCCCTGCCACTCCTTGGCTGTGATGTTTATTGCCCAAAATATTGAAGCCCTGTGAGATATCTCTGCCCTTTAAGGATTCAGGCTTGGGATTTGGTGAAAAGGTCAAGTTCTTTGTACTTAGATTCTACCACCAGTTCTGCAGGTCTAGGCTAAAAAGCCCTGTCCTTGTGGCATAATGTCTTTTCCTGAAAGTCCTCTTAACTGTTTTTCATCTTCGTTCAGTTTTTGAAGTTTTAGGATGATTTTGTAGAGAATAGGTTGGGGACTTCTGGTTTGTTTCCACATTTCTCCTCCACTGGGTTAGCTTATTCAGACATGGTATAGGCCTTATGACATGCAGCTTTTTCTTTAGTGTGTACCTGATGGCACAAAGGTCAGCAGGTTTGAGTTTAATCTGGATGGTTTTTACCTTGGCTCATTCCCTGCACTGCCTTCTTGGAAGGAGAGCTGCCACCTTTCCACCACTGCATCTTAGGCCTTTGCAGTTGATCTCCTGGTGTTTCATTGTTTCAGTAACTTGGTGTCACCTACAGACTGGGAGAGCGCTCATGATGCTCCTCCTCTTTTAGATACTCTCTGGGGAGGGTCTTAAAATTCACGTGATAAAGGGAGAAGCCCTCTGAACCCATGTTTTTATTTCAGGGCTTCGAGGAGTCAAATTCACTGTATTAAGGAGAGTGGCAATGGAACTAATTCTGGCTCAGAGAAATGAAGTGGCCTCTCCAGGGTCACACAGCTGGAGGCGGCATCACTGAGACTATTTCACATCTGTTGGTTCCAGTATTTAAGATGACTGACTTATTTCCCTTGTTTTACTTCACTGCTTTAAGGGGTGGTCACATGATTATTCCACTCTGGTGTTCCTCTTTATTCAAAGCCTATAAAGATAAAAGATGCAGGTTTTCTGTAGACTCTAGGTCTGCGCCCCATACCCTGCCCCTTCTGCCTAAAGATAAAAGATGCAGGTTTTCCTTTCTTGTTTACTCTTTTTAAGAAATTAAGCCAGATTTTGTCTTTTGTAAAGCAAGTTGTCTTGACCTTTACATTTCTCATGTGTTTAGAGGTCTTAATCCATGTATAAGTATCTGTCTGTTGCCAACTCCTTAGCCACTGCAAGCTAGGAACACTTGGGTGTCCAGTAATAGGGGAATTGACACTGGTACCACATCAGCTATCACAAAAGGTGAGGAGGAATTAGGGGGCCTCTGATTGCTTCTTTTCTTTCTTTTCTCTGTACCTGTTGGTTTTTGGTATCCACTGGCCCATCAAGCATATGGTGCCCTGAGCACCTGTGCTGATCTGCAGGTCTGAATATGTGCCCTTGGAATAGAAGCCTTGGAGTGTTCCCCATTGCAGAAGGGGCAGGGTATGGGGCACAGACCTAGAGTCTACAGATGCTTCCACCACTACCATGTCTCTGTTGGTGATTGGGAGTGGATAGGGCTGGCAGACTGCTGCATTGCCTTCTTGTTTCTCAGACCCTGCCTGAGTGCCAGGCATTGTGCAAAGCACATTGCATGCCTGGTTTTATTTCCACTAAACAGCATCTTTATTTGGTAGGTACTGTCATCATCCCCACTTCACAAAGGTCTCAGGGTCAGGGAGGTCAGGTAATTTGCTCAGGAGCACACAGCTGATCGGTGTGGCACAGACTTCATTTTTATCACTTTAGCATACTGTGCATTTCTCTTTCCGCCAGAGCTTTCCAAGGCTTATTTCTCCATCTTAGTTGGCTTTTTACACAAGCCCAGCTAAAACTTTATCATCCCACATTGCCTCAGCATTCAGGCTCAAGTTGGTCATCTGAGGCAGAAATACTCCCCCTCCTGCTGTCACTGCAGATCCCAGAAGGCTTTAGCAAATGCAGTCCAGCTTAAAAGATTCCTGGATTCTTCTACTCCCTGGGGGTGCCTGCTTTTCTTAGGCTCTTCAACCTGAGCCAGGGGAGCCCCACCCCCCTCTGCCATTCAACTGTGGCCTACAAAGGGCAACACAACCGCCTCAGGAAAGCATCTTTGGAGAATGAGGAAGTCAGGTGAATCATGGTTGACAGCAAGCCATGGGGAGGTCAAGGGCCTTCCAGGGAGGGTGGGTGTGTCAGGGGTGGTGACTGAGGCAGCTGGACTTCCAGGGCCTCAGCTTGGTTGGGACTTTTAGTATCTGTGATAGTGACAATGCCAGAAGCCTGTCTGGAAGCTAAAAAGTCATGGTGGGGCAAGGCTTTGCATGTGGGATGATGAGTGCTGAGAAGGATTTGAACTGTGGGGAAGTGACTAACAGGAACTCTGGTGAGGGGAGAAAGAAGGGGAAGTGGAGCAGGGGACTGGCCAGAAACCTTCCTGCCTTCCAGCCTATTTGGGCCAGGAGGGGGTGTGAGCAATGGGCAGGTAGACAGGAAGAGCCAGGGCCTCAAAACAAATCTAGCTCAGTGACTCACCAGTGACCTTGGACAAAGTCAGTTCTTTGGGATCCTATTACACAGCAGCTGCCTTCTTCCCTAGTAACTGGCCCGGACAGTCAAGCAATAGTTACCAAAATAAAGAGCCCACAGCACAATTGGAGGACAGGATGTGTTCTCTGCCTTACCAGAGTCTCGTGGAGGGCACCACAGGTTTGAATTTCAAATCAGGACCCTGCCCCATGTGCCAGTCATTTCTCTCCACAAATAAAATAATATATCCAAACATTTTGGGGGGGGCCTTATTCTTTTTAGCAACCCCCTAAAGGAGCAGATATTTGTTGCCCACCCTGGCATACCAGGGGTCTGGTTGAGAGGAGAGAGAGAGATACTGAAATCTGAGCCGTGTTGGAGCTTGAGTAACTGCTGTCCTCTCTCTGCTCTGATAACCTCTGATGACAGACCACCTGGGATATGCAGCAGGCTTCTGGGGTGTCTGTCAGCATCACTCCAGGGAACATTACATTTGGCATCCCCACTAAACCTGAGGACTTACGCACAGATTTGGGATAGAGAAAGGCAAACAAATTGAAACAAAAACTGTTTGAATTTTGGATCAAAACGTATTTGGTGAAAGCCCCCTCTGTCCCGCACCATCACTTTGGTGGGACAGAGCCTTAGTCTGGCTTTGGTGGGCTCTTTCTCTGCCTCTCACTGCTGTGTGTGGACAAGGAATCTTCTACGGTGGCAGGGCTATGGTGCCCAGCTGAATCAGCCCAGAGCAGCGAGACTGCTTCCATGTGGCAGGTGTTGTTGTTTGCTGTCATTTGATAAAAGAGGGCAGAGGCTGAGAGCAGTCAAGTTACATGCTCGCGATATCGCTTATCTGTGGTAGGCCTAGACCACCCCCAAGCACCCCCACAGTTGCAGGAGCCCAGTGATGCTGCTGAAGCTTAGGCCACACCAAGCAGGTTTTGCCCAATAATTCCAATATGAGCACTTGATTCATTGCTTAATGACCCTTCAAGCCTTTTTCCTTAGAAGAGATTTCCTGTTTCCAGCTTTTCCTTAGTGAGTGCAGTTGCCTCTGGCTCTGAGGACATTTCTCACAGCATTCATATTAACTTTTGACCCATCATTCAAATTCAGCACTTTAGAATTTGATTATCTCCATCTGGGAAAAATAAAATGGCTAACTCTGCTTCTTGGTGACTATTGTCACAATGCAAGGAAGCCTGCCTGGGGCTTGGAGTCTATCTCTGCTCTTTGTGACCAGGAGGAAGTCACTTAACCTTCTGGAGCCTCAGAGTCCTCATCTGAGCTGTATGGTGAATTCCCCAGAGTGGAGGGCGCTAAGCCAAGATAACATTTGACCCATCTGTGCTCACAGGCTCTTCCTGGAGGCACGCAAGAAACTGCCAGTAACGTTTGCCTCTTGGGCAGTTGGACATCTGGAAGGGAGGGAGGGATGTCCTCTCTGAAGCTTTTTATCATGTTCAAATCTTCCTTGTTAAAACAAGGACATAGGACACAGGAGTGTATATGATAAAAGTTCATTCTTAAGGATGAGAATAAATGAGCACCCTATATTTGCTGTGCAGTTGAAGAAAGTGTCTTTGAAATGCCCATGTATTGCTTTTCAGTTAAAACTTGTCAATAAAAACTTAGCCTATTTTTAAGAACCACAATTAAAGCACCCCTCAGAGTGCCAGACCGCAGTAAGTGGTGCTGGTGGCCTCTGACCACAGCCTGCTGCAGAGCGTTGTGTGATGTTAGCCCTTACACGCTGCAGCTCATGGGTTATTCTTGGAAACACTAGAAGGACACTTTTGTCCAGCCTTAGCCCTGCCATTTGCCATGTGAACCCCAAGAAAATCTATTTCGGTGAGCTTGTTTTTTTGTTTTTCATAGAACTGGAATGTTGGCCAGAGGTGTGGGGGTGGGGAGATCTGCGGGATTCGGGATTCATCAGAGACAGGGTGAGGAGCAGAACGGGCTGATTTATACTGCTAAAGGGAAGCAGCAGGTGAGACAGGAGAGGTCTGCTGTGCCATGTGGGTCAGCTCCCTGGCCAGGGATTGAATTCAGGCCCTAGCAGTGATAGCCCTGAAAGTTAACCTCTGGGCTACCAGGGAGGCCCCCTCAGTGAGCTTTTAATAATACTAAGAATAAAGCAGGCCCCTGTGTCCAGGAGCTTTTCTTTTGGTGAGGCCCTCCGGGTTTCTAGACTCTTCCAAGCCCATATGGCTGTCTTAGGCTATGCAAGGCTGGATTAATGAAGGTTGGCCCTGGTTGCTGGCAGAGATAATGCACGGACAAACCCCTTAGTGGTAGGAGAGCACCCAGGCTGGGTGATTGGGCCCAAAACAGGTGATCTTTTGACAAGAGAATGCCAGATAGCTCTGAGGACAGCTTAGAGAATGACCTGACACCAGATGGAGGCAGAGGGTCTCATGTAGGCCTGGGGCAGGGAATGCATGCTGTCACAAACACCAGAGCCTTTTGATATCTGGTCTGGTTCTCATATGTGGGAGGCTGGGCCCTCTGCCCAAGATCCCATGATGCCAATATATGTGACTATGAATCTGCTTTGTTTGGTTCCAGTGTTTGACTTTTATTCATCAGTCCATCTTCCCATGTGAACAGGATCAGTGTCCCTGTATCGAAATTACCTGAACTGCTTGTTAAAAATCCACCTTCCTAGATCCTGCCCCAGACCTCATGTCCAGAATCTCTGGGATCTGGGGACATGCTTTCAGCTCACACCCAGGGGTTCTGATATGCACTAGAGTGATGTCCTCCATCCCTTGACCTTCAGCCTGAGATCCAGATTCAGAACCTGTAGTCTAAGTCTTGTCAGCCCTTTCCAAGTGTTCCTAAATCACTTCATGACCAACGGCCTAAATGAAAGGAGAGCTTGCCAATGATTGGGACAGAGAAGGGAGAAGTTAAGTTAAGACCCATTTCCTACCTGTTATTAAAGCTTAAAATGGTATTGTTTTGGATCAGCCTTTATTCTGTCTGTGTATATCAGAGTGCTATAAGACTTTATATAAATGTCAAAGGAGGCTGACTGTTGTCTAGTTGGGGGAGGGGTCTGGCAGGAAAAGCTAGAGGTGGTTCTATATGTCTAATGCACATTGTCATTATTGGATCTCCTCGAATGTCATCCTGGGATGATCCTGGCGACTCCTTGAATGTTGTTTCTCTCGTTACAGCATCTTCCTTTTTCTTGGTTTACACCCTCATTTTGGTAGAGCATGCACCCCTCAATGGCTTTGCCCTCATTGTAGAAGGTATTTGTGTGGTCACAAAAACTTTCTGGAGTCCTGTACTTAGACACTTCCCTCTTGATGGAAAGGGGACACAGACAGAGGGACATGGAAGCGGTAACCCAGAACTCCTGTCTGCTGTTAGGAAAATCGCCCTGTCTCTTTCCACACCAGCTGGGAGCAGTAGTTAAGACCCCTCCCTCTGGGGTGTCCCTGGTTCTCCAGGATTGTGGCAAAGAGGGGGACAAACCCCTACTCCAGGTAGGGGCATCCTGCCATAGGGCTGCCCAGGCCCTGAGGATTTGTTTCTCTCCCTACAGATTTCTGCATGAATCCCCAAACAGTGCTGCTCCTGCGGGTCATCGCTGCCTTCTGCTTCCTGGGCATCCTGTGTAGTCTCTCCGCATTCCTTCTGGATGTCTTTGGGCCCAAGCACCCAGCCCTGAAGATCACTCGTCGCTATGCCTTTGCCCACATCCTCACAGGTAACCTGCTCAACTTGGGGAGGGTCTGCCATAGGGCTGAGGCATCCTGTCTGGTGTTGCAGGCGGGTTAAAGGGTTTCCGTGAGTAGACACCACTCCACATGCTTGTTTCTAGCCTTGCACAGAACAGCAGGGCATGATCACAAACCTCCTCTGGGGAGGGAATATTGTTAGAATCCCCAAGAGATCTCACTATTCTCTAAGAATTGTGAGATCAGAAGCTCGGCTGGGCTCATGAGGTCTGGAAGAAGCAAGGAAGGAACAGTGTTTCACTGTAGTGCATGTTCTTACTAAAGTCTCTCTACCCCCTGTGTGTGTCCCTGTAGACCAGCCTTCTTTGTGCATGCAACTTCCCTCCTCCCGCACCTGAGCTTCTGTGTTTTTGATGGGTGGTTACACTGACTCTAGCTTCCAACCACTTGACCTTGTCTGTTACTTTCAGGCACCCAGTAACTTCTAGTATCCCAATTCCAAATACATAAGACAGGGAAGCTGACTGGCCCAGATTGGGTCAGGCATCTGTTCCAGCCCCAGCCCAAGACCCCGTGACTAGAGAGTTCCTCCTTGCAGGGTCTCTGAGAATGGAGTTTGGGTAGTGGGGCTGCAATTGGTTGCTCAGGCATCCTGCTTGTGGGGTGCCTGCTAACCCCTCTACTGTGCTGTTTCTCTGTCCTCCCAGTTCTGCAGTGTGCCACTGTTATTGGCTTTTCTTACTGGGCTTCCGAACTCATCCTGGCCCAGCAGCAACAGCATAAGAAGTACCATGGTTCCCAGGTTTATGTCACCTTTGCTGTTAGCTTCTACCTGGTGGCAGGAGCTGGTGGAGCCTCAATCCTGGCCACAGCAGCCAACCTTCTGCGCCACTACCCCACGGAGGAAGAGGAGCAGGCTCTGGAGCTGCTCTCTGAGATGGAGGAGAACGAGCCCTACCCAGCAGAATATGAGGTCATCAACCAATTCCAGCCACCTCCAGCCTACACACCCTAATGCCGCCCTGGGCTTTCATCCGCAGCAGTCACTCCCCACTCTGCAGCTCCTCTCACCCAGAGGCGCTCCCTCCCCCGCAGGCTGCACGGGTAGGATCCTGACCATCTTCACCAGTCCTTCCCCAGGAGAGACTCTGCCTTTAGGGTTGTTAGTATATCCTTGCTCTCGAAACCTGGGGTTCACCAATTTTATATAATGCACTGTTTCCCCTCCTGTCACCTTCTCCCTTCACAGTCTCTAGTCATTACCAACCAGGGAGGGTCATACAAGTGTTCTCTTTCACGGGCCATATCTTTGAGACGGGGGCTTTTCTTGAGGAGCTGCTGACAGACAGGAGGCGTGTCAGCAGGGCCCAAGGGAAGGAGTACTGTGCCCTGCAGACTAGCCTCATGGGGGTCAACGTTTGTTCCACCGCTGTAGCTCTGGGCTGACACCCCACCCCCATTCCTTCTTGGACTACAGTTACTCCTTTGAATTCTCTGCACTTTATAAAGTCTTCGGGCGTCCCATCAGGTGTGAGCTGGTTTCACAGGGAGAAGGAGTTGCTGCCCTCGCCCTGCCCTCGCTTGAGTGGCTGGAGCCCCTGCAAGGAGAGCAGCACCTGGTGTGGGCCTGAGGCCTCCAGGACCCACAGAGGGTCAAGAAGGGAACTGAATCTCCCCAGCCCCTTCACCTTTTAAAATGTGGGTGGTTTTAAAAGAAGAAATAACTAAGACACAGTAACAAATTCTCTTTTTAAACTAGGGACAAGACTTGTTTATTTTGTTTTTTCAGCTATTTATCCACTTCTTTTTGGCTATGAGTTGTTTTAAGCCATAGCTCCTTCCAGCCCGTGGTCATTCCTCCCCGAATCTCCCCCAGCAGAATGCAGCCCTCCTCCCTTGCTCTCCTCTCAGTGACCCCAGCTCCTTGGGCCTTCCTGTGGAACCTGGAACCCCACCCCAGAGGGGCTGAGGTCTGTGGCCTGGCTGGCTGGCCAGCGTGGTGCTCCTCAGGACTGTGGCACTGAGATGTAACCTGGCCTCCGTGCAGGAACTGAGGCCACAGCAGGGCAGGAAGCCCACCACTTTCCACATAGGGACCACAACCAGTAGGGCCCCTTCACGTGAGGTGTCAAACTAACGGATTTGGTTGTGTCCTTCAGATTCAGTGCACCCCCTAGACTGTGACTTGGGGCAACAGCTTGCTGCATGCCTCTCTCCCATTCCTGAATGTACTCTGGCCTTGCAGTGTGCTACTGGCTCTTTCTTGCCTAACTATAACTCCACACATGGCTCTGGTTGGGGCTGAATTTTCTGCCCTGAGATCTGGGGCACAAAGTGGAAGAAACTTGAGGGGCCTTCAGAGTGGATCCAGTTAGCCAAGCTTCTTTGGAATCAGGGTCCAGTGCTGAACTGAACTGAAAACATATGGACTCCCCACCTCCTCCCACAGGCAATAAAGCAAGCCTAGAGAATGGACACCACTGTTGAGTTGTGGCTAGAAAGGGACTGTCATGTCCCTCATCCTTCTGCCAGACTGCCTAGGGATGTCTAGACAGATGCAGTGTGGGTGGTGAGGACCATGTCCGCACATGAAGGAGTATACTACCTGTAGTTCACTGTGATGCCAAGTGTGACCTATGGTGACTCTCACACTCTTCCAGACTCTTCTCTAAAGCAAGAAAGACTGCCGTATAATACCTGAGCACAAAGCCAAGGAGCTGATTAAATCGAAGCTTGTCTCTGTAAAGTTCACGTTTACCTTGGCAGTTTTTTGGAGTGTGACCAACTCTGACTGTGGATGTCTGAGTGGGCAGACCAGGAGACCGGATGCTGAACACGCATGCCAAAGTGTCTGGTCACTTCATGAGGACCCCGACATGACCCTGTGGATAGTTCCATGCGATTTGGAATCCACTTTTTACTAGCTTCTCATGTCTCTGGCCTTTCTCTTTTTCCCTGCCATCCTGACACTAATAGTTTGTCATATAAATTCCCCTGGTTGTGTTTTTTTTTTTCTAGAAAAAAATTAAAAAGCAAAAAATCGGAAACCACAATAAGAATGTAAATGCCAAAGTCTCCCTGTCATTTTTTAGTCAGTTTCCCTGATTTTCACTTATTCCCTTCCTCTTACGAAGCAAGAGAAATTGAAGTGTGTAATTTTAAAAAGTTAGAAGGGCCAGGCATGTGGCTACTCTCTACAAGACAGTTTGACCTATGTGACCCTACCCTGGTCCTGACAACTTCCACATCAGCCCAGAGCCAGGAGCACTAGATGTACCCTGCCACAGTTCTCGGCTTCAGACCCTGAGCCCTTCTGGTGCACATACTGGCTAGTTGCAGATGAGAGGGCTGCTTCTGAACTCTTAACACTTGTCTTCCCATGACCTGGCAGAAGAAACTGCACTCAATTTTGAAACCATAGACTTGAGCAGAGGACCTGGGGCCAGAACAAAGGGGAAAGCAGAATCCCCAGGTTCAGGTGTTGCAAGAGGTCCACCTGAAGTAAAGGCTAGGGATTCCTGTTTCACAATTAAGAATTTCTATTACTAAAAGTTTGATGTGGAAAGCTTAACTATTACAGGGGGTTTCCTGAGACAAAGTTTCACTGGTCTCTGAGTTAAAGGATTTATCTTGGACTGGCCTGCTCACTTTGAGGGGGCAAACTGGGTGGTGGGAGCTTCCTAGGTGTTCAAGGAGAGCAGCTGCTGACAGAAAGTACCATTCTGGTACAGTTTTTTTATTTTAAAGATTTATTTGTTTATGCTTACAAGAACTGAGAAACAGGCCAAGGATGCAGTGGGGTGAGAGGATTCACCAGAGACAGAGTGGGGAACAGAACAGGTAGATGTACTGAAATACACTGCTGAGGGGAGCAGCAGACAGGACCTGAGAGGTTTGCTGTGCCATGTGGGCCACCCCCTGGCCAGGAAGGACTCACACTGGTGCTGCAGTGGCTGCAGATAGCTTCATAGTGCTGTGCTTTAACCTGTTGCAACACCAGGGAGTGCCCTCTTGTATAGTTTTGCATTAATTCCTCAAAACTGAATTTTCTTCTGCTCTCAGAGCAATGCCACTGCCTTCTTTAAAGCACGTATCTCTTGGTGGTTTCCTTCCCCAGCTTGGACATATGTACTTAGGAAGGATGTTGAGCAACAAGAAGGGGCACAGGTAAGCATTCTAGGTGGAATAAAGGCTGGAAGGGAAGTAAACAGCTCTAGATAAAAGGATAGAATGCCAATCTGAAGTGTGTGGAGAGAGAATATAGCTATCAGTTGGAATGTGGACCTCTTAAATGCCACATTTTTATTAAAATACAACACATCATAAAATGCATCCTTGTATAACCTTTTTAGTATTTTTCACAATTTTGGGTAACCTTATCACTAATAGCAATTACAAAACATTTTATCACCCCCCCCCCAAGAAATCTGTACCCATCAGCAGTCACTGTCCTGCCTCTCTCACCCCCACCCTCTCCCACACATATACATGGATCCTAACAATCATCTATCTGCTTTGTTTCTATGGATTTGCCTATTCTAGGCGTTTCATTTATATAGGATATGTAACTTTTTTCACTTAGTATAATGGCTCACCCATTCTAAAGGGTCACTGATGTAGCATGTATCAGTAACTCATTGATTTCTATAGATGAATAATATCCCATTGTAGGATATTTTGTTTACCCGTTCACTGGTTGATGCATATTTAGGTTTTTCTGCTTTTTGGCTATTATGAACACTGCACAAGTTTTTCTGTAATATATGTTCTCAGTTCCCTTGGGTATATACCTAGAAGTGGAATTGCTACATCATGATGACTACTTAATAGTTTGAGGAACTGCCACTGATTTTGAGTAGCGGCACCATTTTACATTACCAACAACATGAGAGTTCCACTTTCGCCATAATTCACCAAAAGGACATCGTCCTTTTTGATTCTAGTCATCCTAGTGGATATGATAATATATTTCATTGTGACTTAATTTGCTTTCCCCTGGTAATAATGGTGTTGAGTATCTTTTCATTTGCTTATTGGTCATTTATATATACTTTCTTTGGAGAAAGAGCTTTTGAAATTCGTGGCCCATTCTCAGATTGGGTTATTTATATAGATAGTAAATATCTATATAAATATAGGTATATTTGTATTTGTATTGTTTAGGTGTAAGAATTCTTACATATCCTGGATACTATATCATTGTCGAGGTAACATAGAGTGTGGAAGAGGGGTCTACATTCTCAGGTAAATTTGTGCCCAGTAGATGCACATTTAAGCATTTTTGAGAAATGGAAAAATATGACATCTTTCCATTGCAGTACAATTTTTTTTTGTTGTTTAAACATAGAAATTCAGATACCCTCATGAAGCCTCATGACTAACAGATGTTGAAACCTCTTTTCTGATCTTACCTAAGAGTGTATTAACCTGTATACTTTTAGTTAGAAAACAAGAAAAATTGGTAATACAAAAAAAAACTTTCTTGGCTGAGTACCAGTAAAGTCAAACAATGCAGTGAATTCAAGTGTTCCCAGGGTGCTATCTCAATACCCACTTTGGATGCTGGCTTTACTTCCCAGCCAGGCTTTTCCTTAACAATGGTAAGGGGTCTGCTCATACTTCCCTCAGAACACTATGTTCAACAGAAAATAAGGTAAGCCTCTTCCTTGTACTAATGTCCCAGGATTCAATCTGATTTGACCACCTTGGGACAAACCTCATTACTGGATGAATCCCTGTGGCCAGGAAGATTAAATGCCCTGATTGGTCAAGGCTAGAGTCTCTTGTCTACCCGATGTTGGGAATAGAGTCAGGTTAGGAAACCCTGAAGCTTAGCAGGAAGTTGAAGTGGATCCACAAAATGCAAATCAAAGTACTTTTAGTAAAAGAAGGGCAATGGCTGAACAGCTGAAACACAAATGTTTCTCAGACATGGAAAGGACACGAGACTGGGTTGGTGGTGCAGCGCACATCCTAAGCTCTCTCCTGCTTTATTGGTAGGGCTCCACTCCCTGGGAGACAATTTCTGAACAGGCTGGTAACTGAAGGCTACTAACTAGCAATTCTCCTGCCAGCGAGGGGCAGAAGCCCTTCAAACATGATGGTGGACAACAGTGGACCTGGGTAACATACCAGTGCCTGTGACTCCTCATGCCACTCAGAACTATTTCTCTGTAAGATCTGGGAGAAGCTCTTCTGGGAGCAGATAGTGAGAGAACCACAGTCCCCACCATTGTAGCTGACCCTTGAGGCCCTAAATAATACTCCTTTTTCTCCTCTGCTATCCATTTTAGATTTTCCTCACCCTCAGGAAGCACCTCCACTGAGCACTTGGTAACCAAATAATGGCCATGTCAATTTGCCAAGGGCAAGGGTGTTCAAAGAGATACCCAATTGGGTAACTGGGGTACCAAATATATTCCTTTTTGCTCCAACTATCTACAGACTTGGCTCTTCCTGATGATTAATTACTGCTGCCAGGAAGGTGTCACCTGTTTCTTTCCTGTCAGTCTCTTAGCTTGAGTAGCTCAAAGTGCCTAGTGACAGGTGGTGTATTAAAGTTCAATGGGACTTTTGCTACATCCCTATGGAAACATTTCCTCTTTAAAACTAGAACCTCAAAACCCTCAAAGCTCAGTTATTGTGACAGAAATGCCACAAGTTCACTGGGGTGAATGGTTAAGTAGAGCCACTCCTGCTTTCTACTCCCTGGCTTCTAGACCTATCCTTTGGTGTAGCACCATAATAGTTGTGATAAGAGTATCATATATTGTGTCCCAGAAGATGGTACCTTCTTCCACGGTTGGTTGCATCTTCACACTGGCACCTCAAGTCTGCCTTATCAGGTCATTGCTCTTCTGAAGCTGGCATCTTCTGAGTGGTACAGAATTTGAACGGGCCCGTGGATCCTATGGTCCTCTGCCACTGTCAAGCTTCTTTTGCTGTTCATTTAGTCCTTTAGTCTGATGCAACACTATATGAGATCCTACATCAATAGTTAAGACGCTCAGTAAACACTCAGTGGTGCTACTTGAAGCTCTGCAGGCAGAACAGGGAAACCATACCCACAATGTATCAGTTCTAATCAAAATAAATTGCTGCCATTTCCAAGATGTCAGTGTAGTCAACTTGTCATCAAATGGTTAGTTGTTCTCTTTGAGGGATAGTGCCATTTTGGGAGCTCAGCACTGAATTCATTGCTGGAAGACTGGATATTCAGCAAAGGACCACACCTCCTTTGCAGTCATAGGCAGGATCTGAGGGAGGGCGATGGTTCACAAGTGGTACCAGTAGTGGCAGAAGCTACCTGAGCCTGAGCCGGAGACCATGTTCTTGGGTTCATGTATCACTCTCATCTGTCACCATGGCTGCTAAGTCACATACTGTGCCATATCACATAGTCAGGGGCCTGAAAGCATCAACTGACTCAGTCATTCTGTCTGTTCAGTGCCTCTTCACAGATGTTCTCTTGTGGATTATCTGCACACCTCTTGCCCATTTACAAACTTCATTGACATGCCCCTGTCCCAGAGTTCCTTGCCCTTATCTTCTAACCTTTTTTTCCTTAGGCTCCTTGTCAACAGGCCAGGTCAACTACTACTATATGTGCCAGGAGTCCACATATATATTTCAACCTTGGCTACATATCTACCCACACAAAGCATATGACCAGGTGCAGCATTAAGACTTTATCCACTGGTGAGGGAATTTCCCTCATTCAAGATTACCTATTGGTGGAGTTATATTAGTGCAGCCACAGTTCCTTTCTAGCTTTGATCTGCAAATCAAGCTTTGCTTTTTTCCCCTCCTCTACCAGTTGTTCATAAAGAGATCCCACCTCCTTTGCAATCATAGGTGTGAACTGAGGGAAGAGGCACTGGTAGCCAAATGCAGTGACTGTCTAGGTGACATGAATGTCTAGGTCATCTGCTTATATAGCTTACTTGTGCTCCTGGCCTGCTCATACCAACTCTGGATGAATCACTTTCATCTTACTATGGGTGACTGCTTGGCCTACTCAATTTTGGGTTTTGAAGTTTGACAGGAACAGGTAGAACCAAATATATAACACAAGCTCTTCATGAAGAATTTTGTATCAATTTAAAATATACAAAGGAAATAAAGTTTTGAACATTATTCTGTGCAAAAGCAAAAAAAGTTTGTTGATAATGGGTTAGGAGAGTCCTAGGGTTTGAAGGAAATAGAGAGAATGGTGGGGCAGAAATTATTAAAAATTTTAAAGATGAAGAATTGATAACTAGGCATAGAAATGTAGCCAGCAAGCATATTTATTCTTAAAAAAAAAAAAAAAATCATGTCTATGAAAGGGAAGAGAAGGGGTGGGAAAAGGAATTTTTCTTCCAAAGTATTTTTGAAGATGGGTTTGATTGTTTATGTACTGAGGTGGAAAAGGTAGTAGAGATGGCCAGATCAATGAGTTCCTGAGAACTGATTTTTGATAAGAAAAGTGCTCCTTTTTTTTTTTTTTAATCAAGGGAAGCAGGACAGTAATAAAGTTCAATTCTTCTTTCAGTCCTTTCCTGGCTGGTCATCCTACCATCACTGAGAAAAGCCTGGTTTACCAAAGTGGCAAATTATTTTCTGGTATATACTTTTTTTCCTTACCTGCTTTCAAGAGCATATAATCCACAACACCAGAGTCAAAATTAGTCTGGATAGAATAGAGCTAAATTTCAGCTTACAGTTAAGCACACTTTTTTTTATATCCTTGGAGAAACATCTTTTATCTAAAATTGCTGTAATAGCTACAGTTAAAAGTGAAATTTCTGAATGCACTGCCTTGCAAAGAATAAAGCCCCTTTCACACCAAGAAGTCTTCTTTTTTGTTCTTGTTTGTCAATAAGGTACTTAACATTGGCCTAAAAAATATTACTGTAAAGTTTTCCTACTGGACATCCAGCAGTTTCATTGTACTGAGGTTTGGTACAGAATAGTAATTTAACACTCCAGGTTTTCAGGAGTGGTGCAAGGTGAGTTTTAGAAAAGCTGTTTACCTTCCACGCTGCCATCTTTGGGTTTTAGGGGGAAAAGCCAGCTATTAAGAAATCTCATTCTGGACCTCCCTGGTGGCGCAACCGGCAAAGCGCAACACTCTGAAGCCACTGCAGTAAGGGATCCCTGGCCAGGGAGGAGACCCACAGGGCGCAGCAGACCTCTCCTGGCCCACCCGCTGCACCCCTCAGCAGTGTATTTCAGTCCATCTGCCTGTTCTGCTCCCCACTCTGTCGCTGGTGAATCCTCTCACCCCCTGCACCTCAGTTTTTGTAAGCACAAATAAAAAATAAATCTTAAAAAAGAAAGAAATCTCATTCTGCTGCCCTGTCACCTATGGGTTTTTGCATTTCCAGGCTGCAATGCGCCAACTGCCCGAGTAGCTCTGGACCGGTCTTGGGCTATACAGACTTCACACCAGTCCACTCCCTTGTCGCGGGGTATCTGAAAAAAAAACTGTCCCGACTCCGACCTTGCGGCGCCATCTCCGTAGTCAGGGCGCTTCGGGGAGAGCCAACCGGTGAGGCCTAGGAAGGTTTTGAGGGTAGCTGCCTTCTGGCCGCAGCTGGGTCTGCACTCATCAAAGGCTTCTTTACCCGCACCCCCCAACCCTGATCTGCAACGCCCCCAGGGCCCAGCGGAGACTCCACTCCACCCTAGAGTAGTGAATGAAGCGTCGGCCCCAGTCCTCAGGACCACAGAGCACCGTGCAGGATCCTAAAAGGCACCTGGCCGCGCGCCCTCAGCGGGGTGGGGGCGGGAAAATGGCGGCGGGGTCCGACGGTCACTCTCCGGGGCGCCCTTGACTAGCGCTAAGTCGTCGCGCCACCTACCTTGCTAGCCGGCGCGCCCCGCGAAGGGGCGGGAGCAAGAGATAAAGAGCATTTGGCTGTGCCAATCAGCACCGGGGAGTCTGGGTCACGCCCAATCAGGACCGGGCGGCGGAGAGGAGGGTAGGTTGCAGGCAGGCAGCGCATGTGGCGGACGCGGAACAGCTCGGACCTCGCCTGCTGGCCGCACGGAGCCGCTCGCCTTGAAGCTCCCCGCGTGCTCTGCACCACGGGCCCTGGCTCCGGCTGGAGGACGCCGAGGAGGGAGAAGGCCGAGGGGACTGACTCACGCCTACGAGTCCGGCGCGCGGCCAGGAGCACCTCTTGCAGCCGTCGCGGGACCACCCCCATGACGGACCACCTCTGAGGGGACAGTTCCTGGGCGGTTGCTGTGGAGAGTGATGAAGCACTTGTTAGACTGTGAGACGAGTTTGGCGGCGGACAACTAGGCAAAGTTGGTGCAAGCCGCCCGCGCTTCCCCTGGCTCGTGCCTTTCGCCCCGTGAGGGAGGCCTCTTTCGCTTCCGGGCGCGCGGCAGGCTCGGGGTCCAGCGAGGTTCCGAGGGGCGCGTAGGGGCAGCATGTTTCCGCGGAGGCCGCCGGCCACCCTGGCCGCCTGGCTGGCGGGCGCCGTGGGGGCGCGGGGTGGGGGCCTGCTGGCCCTGCTGGCCAATCAATGCCGCTTCGTGACGGGCCTGCGCGTGCGGCGCGCGCAGCAGATCGCGCTGCTCTACGGCCGCCTCTACTCCGAAAGCTCCCGCCGAGTCCTGCTCGGCCGCCTCTGGCGCCGGCTGCGTGGCCGACCTGGCCACGCCACCGCGTTGATGGCGGCGCTCGCAGGTGTCTTCGTGTGGGACGAGGAGAGGATCCAAGAGGAGGAGTTGCAGAGGTAAGGCCGGCGGCGAGGTGGGCATGACCCGGGGGTGATGGCCGGTGGTGTTGGGATGTGGAATCTGGGGGGGCCTGCCTTCGTGCTGCGCCCCCTTGACCCGGGGGTACTTTTTTTTAAAGGCGATGCAGTAGCTTGATCCAGTTTTAGCAAACCGCGTTTTTGTTGCCTCTGTTAATTTGATTTGTTGCATTAGCAATGTGTGGGAGAGTAGGGGAGAGACTTGGGTGGGGAGCGTGATGCTCTTGAAATAACATTGTTAAAAGCAGATATTGAAGGCCTGTGGGCTATGGTTCAGGCGTTCTTTTAACACGTCCAGAAAGGTGCAAATTCAAAACAGGTTTTGATTTTGGCCTAAGGGTATGGTTATCTAATTTAAAGAATTGCCTTCTGTCCGTATGGGGCTTTGTGGGAAATACAGAAAAGCGCTCTTGTCATTTTGACTTGTGGCAGAATTATGGGATTGAGGGCACTTTGTATCGCTGGTCAAACCAGCAGTCCAGAACCTGTAAGAATTAGGTCAGTATTTTGGCCACTTTAACTGGAACTGTTCTGAAGTCACACTCCCACCAAAACCCCGTGTGAAAAGTGCCATCTGTACCAGTGACTGAATCCGTCAATCTCTGCTTCTAAATCTGAGACCTAGTTATGAGGGCCGGTGACCTTGCTTTGACTCTTGCTGTACATTGTTTCTGATGGTTGTTTTTAATAGTTATTTCTAAACTGTGCCTTACCTGGCCGCCCCCCACCCCTTCCATACTCTGAAACTGATTTCAGGAACCTAACAGCCCCTTCCCTAGTAGATCCCACTCAAGTCTAGATATTTATTCTGTTTCACATTTTTTGGTTAGTTTAAAAATGGAAATCACTTCTATAAAGTTAACACTGACCTGTTTGGAGGGTGTAGTAAGTACCCAGCTGTCAGCCATCTGTTTGTGCAAAATTGAATTTAGCTTAAGAACATTTTCCCTAGCAGGAAAAATGACAATTTTGTAAATGCAATTTAAATTCATAGCCACAACTAACCTTATAAAACGCTAAGATAGCAAAGTATGTTAGTATTTTGTGATTGTCCATTTGGTCTAGTGAAACAATCTTAGATGTGAGAAATAATTTATGGGAAGGAAGCTTTTAAACTGAGAAATGATCAAGTAATTGCTTCAATTTTCATTTTATCTTTGATTAGGAAATGCCATGTTCCACGGGGTGAAGTTTGGAGGAGGAGGGGTGGTGCTTCCCAGTTGGATCTGTTTGGGAAGAGGAGAAAGACCAGAAGAGGCTTCTAGTACAAAAGAAAGGAAGATGTTTTGGGAGTGGGAGCTGAAGAGTATCAGGCCTGGGTGGTGGATGACAATTTGTGTTACTGCATGTGTTCTTATGGATGTTGTTTAGCAGTTATCCCATTTGCAGGAGCTAAAGGGGAGAAGACAGGAAATAAATGTGATTAACATTTGAGTCTGTGGTCACTACTCTCTGGCAGAAAAAGATCAGACAAGTTTATGTCAGGTCCTCCAGTATTCATTCAGTTTCCCTTTCTTGGAACTGTCTGAAACCAGGGGACAGTGGAAACCCTGTTTCTAATCCAGCTCCTGAGGCGGTATTGCTCTGGATTTAGCAGCTTTAGCATTTCAGAAGCTTAGATGAAGCTCAGTCCTAATACCTAAGGTGCCTTTTCTGACTCTCTTCAGGGTCGCAGCAGCAAAGGCCCTCATTTAACACTTAATTGTTCTTTGTGCTTGGATTCAGTCATGTACTTAAACTTGATCAAGTTGGTCATTTGGAGATTGGCTTTTGTTTGTTTGTTTTAATGTTTGTTAGCTTGATAGGGCTGCAGATAAAATGCTATTCAACTAAACCTTGGTAGTGCAGTGTTTCCATAGGTCTTAGTTCTGATAGTTTGTCATGTTTATGTTTTATTAACTAATATATTCTGAGTAGTGGTTAGCTTTTGTTTTTCAACGTGGGAGGCATTGCTGAGGTTGTCAAAACCAGTTTTGAATATCTTAGGTTTTATTTATTCTATTTAGAGTATTTTGGACAACTTTCATAATGGAGCACAGTTGAATGTGTTCTCAGTATAAGTACATTTATTTCATCATTGATAGAAGAGCATGTTTGTCTCATGATCCCTAAATCATAGCTTTTGGCTTTCTTGTGGTGTGTCTGTACCAACTGGTACAAACTAATTCTGATACTGCTGTCTTGGTAAAACAGTGATGGCAGTGCATGAATGTGTGTGTTTTAAAATGGAATATGTTTTTTCCTATGCTGTTTGAGATTCTGTAAAAAAAAAAGATAACTTGCTTTCTGTTCTCTTGTGCTTCAGGACATCTTAATAGGATATCCTTAATCTAGCAACAGCAAGAAAATTTGAGCAAAGAAGCAATTTGTTTAAAGTGATTTTGTTTTTTTAAGATTTATTTATTTATGCATACAAGAGCTAGGGTGCAGACCAGAGGTGTGGGGCGGGAGGTGAGGCGAGTCACCAGTGACATAGAGGGGAGCAGAACAGGTGGATTGACTGAAATACAATGCTGAGGGAACAGTGATCAGACAGGAGAGGTCTGCTGTGCCATCTGGGTCACCTCCCTGGCAAGAGCTCTAACTCATGCTGCAGTGGCTGTGATTAGATTCATAGTGCTAAGACTTAACCCCTTGCGCCACCAGGGAGGCCCCTCAAAGTGATTTTGAGTCACTGATGGAGCTGCTGTAGAAATCACTTGTTAATACTTGGTCTAGCGTTCTGACCCAGTTGGCTTCAGTTAGACAACTTTCAGATTTGAGATTATCTTCATTATTTTACCATTAACCAGCTAGCAGAGAATTTCAATGAGATAGTTGGTGTCCTTTATTTCTAGGTGTGTATTTTGGGATTATACTTGAAATCTCTACCTTTGACAATAATTTGGCATTTGAGGAGGGATTATGTGAGCTAGTCTTACTGAAATTACTAATTGCAGGGTCAATTTATTAGATTAATTTTGGAGCCTTACATACAGCAAGCTCTGTATTGAATATAGGACCTTGTAGATGAGCCAGACATTGATGTACTTACTCTAATTTTGAGTTCACATAACTTTAATTCCATTCGTTCTCAAATAATTGAAGAGACTTTAGTTTGGGAGAAGGAAGTATTGATTGGTTTCCTCGATCCTCTTTCTAATCTGCTGGTTTGGTTACTATTTTGGGAAAAATCTTTAGCTCTTCTTTTCTCTCTAAGGAGAGATATGGGGAGAGGTTTTTCTTTTCTCTGATAGTAAGGGACTTTGTGCACCTGTGTGTTAATTGATGTCTGTCCTCTAAGGATTTAGAAGTTGAGACCCTTCGGAGATTCTTGAACCTGAGTATATAATAATCATTTACATTTTTATGGTATAGTCTTTCTCCAACATTCCTAATGTGCTATTCAAAGAATGAATGTCATACCTCTACAAGACATTTCTATCCCCTGTTAGGGACTTAAGTGTCATAAAAAAATTTTAATAAAAAAAATTTAATTATGCACAAGAACTGGGATACAGGCCAGAGGTGGAGGGGTGAGAGGATTCACTAGAGACAATGTGGGGAGCAGAACAGGCAGACTGAAACACACTGCCAAGGGAGCAGTGGGGGAAACAGGAGAGGTTTGCTGTGCCATGTGGGTCAGCTCCCTGGCTGGGATCAAACTGGTGCTATAGTGGCTTTGGGCAGCTTCATTGTATTGCACTTCAACTCCTTCTGCCATTAGGGAGGGCTGTGTGTCATAATTTTAATCAAGGCCACCTAGTGATCTTTTATTATAGGAGAACCTAATTAAACAATGAATCAGAAGCTCAGTACCTCTCAAGTTCAGGTCATTAAAGTTATATAATGGTAGTCATATAGCTTAATTTTCTTAAAACCTTGTTACTATTCAATTCTTTTATGAGCCTCTAATGTTTAATAAAACATTCATGCCCTTTTCATTATGTGATAAAAATGACATTCAAGAGTGGTGCTTAATTTTTATTGATTGTATTCTCTACTGTCCTGAAAGTGCTATCTGATGCTTGAAATATACTCTGAATAAGTCTTCCTGTGGTTTTCCTTTTACTTTCTCCTCTGATAGATCCTACTGTCTACACTAAAGTTTCTTCCCTATTTCTAGTCTTTGCGGTGGTAATAGTCAAATCTTGTTTTGTAACTTTTCAAAGTAGAACTTTTTAAAGATGGTTACCTTTTTCATCAGGATATCAGTATAAGTTAATGGGTTTGAGTTTTTGGTTGTACGGAAAGAAACTGACATTGGTTAACTCAAGCTAACGAGGAAATAACCAGAAAGATGTGAGTTGGGTCACTCAGCATTGACATGAAAATCATGTCAAAATAACAGCCAAGACTTGCTACAAAACCTATGTTTATGGTCATTTGTTTCTTTTTTTTTTTAAAGATTTATTTATTTATTTATTTATTTATACAGAACTGGGGTACAGGCCAGAGATGCGGAAGGTGAGAGGATTCACCAGAGACAGAGTGGGGAGCAGAACAGACAGATCGGGGAAGTACACTGCTGAGGGGAGCAGCGGGCCGGTCAGGAGAGGTCTGCCATGCCATGTGGATCTCCTCCAGGCAGGCAGGAATCGAACTCATCCAGAAGTGGGTTTAGATTCTCAGTGCTGTGCTTTTAACCCGCTGCGCCACCAGGGAGGGCCCCGTCATTTGTTTCAACAAAGGTGTCAGGATAATTGATACTGCAACATCTAGAGTTGCACATACAAAATAATAGATTAAGACATTTCTCATGCCATACTGAAAGTTTTAATGGATAAATGTCAAAGTGTATCAAAGATCTAAGTGTAAGCTAAAACAAAATCTCTTGGAAGAAAATATGTCCTTGTGACCTTGGATTAGGCAGTGATTTCTTAGAACACCAAAAACATCAGTAATAAAAGAAAAAATCAGATTAATTGGACTTCATCGAAAGGGAAAACTTTTACACAGAAAATATACTATCAAGAAAATGAATAGACAACCTACAAAATGGGAGAAAATATTTGTAAATGATATATCTGATAGGGTACTGGTAACCAGAACACATACTCTGGCAGTTCAGAAATAAAATTACAGCTCATTTTGTTTAAAAATAGATAAGGCAGATTAACACACTTCGACTCCTTGCCAGTTTTGGAAGCAAAAAAAAAAAAAAAAAGATAAGGCATTCAATAGGTATTTCTCCAACACACACAAATAGCTAATAAGCAAATGCAAATGTGACCAACATCATTAATCTTTAGAGAAGTACAAATCTCAATACCTCAGTGATATAGCACTTCACACCCAATAGGATTGATAGAACTTAAAAGATGGACAATGACAACTGCTGACAAGGGTGTAAAGCAGTTGGAAGCCTCATACTTTGTTAGTGTGGTTAAAAAATAGTGTAGCTTCTTTGGAAAATAGTTTGGCCCTTCCTCAAAAAGTAACTCTTCCTTAAAGAGTCATTACTGTCTTAACAAGTCCACTCCTAGGAATTCACCCTATATTTACACAAAATTTTTTAAACATTATTCTTAAGTATTTCAAAAGAAGAAATGTAATGACCATTACCTGATGAATAAACAAAATATGGTGTATATCCATACAACAGGTTATTTTTCAACTGTAAATATGAATTAAGTATGGCATGAGTGAACTTTGACAACATAAGTGAGAAAAGCCAAACACAATAGACTGTATCTTACATTATTTTGTTTAAATGAAATGCCCACAGGTGGCAATTCCATAGAGATAAAAGGTAGGTTAGTGCCTACTACGTATTGGGGGAGGGCAGGAATGGGGAGTGACTGCTGATTTGGATAAGTGATGATTGCACAACCTGTGGCTATATTTAAAAATACCGAAATGTATACTGGAAAAGGGTGATTCCTGTGGTATGTGAATTATTTCTTTAAAAGAAATAATTAGACTCCCTGGTAGCATAGCTGGTTAAAGCCCAGCACTAAAAAGCTAAAGCCATTTCCGCATGAGTTCGATGCCCACCCCAGAGGTGACCCACATGGCACAGCACACCTCTCCTGACCTGCCCGCTGCTTCCCTCAGCAGTGTACTTTGACAATCTGACTGTCTGGCTTCCTACTCTGTCTCTGGTGAATCCTCTCACCGCCCCTGCACCTCTGGCCTGTATCCTAGTTCTGTATTCACAAATAAATTTAAAAAGAGAGAGAGAGAAGGAAAATATGTACATACTCCTACAATGTAATAGGAAGACAAACAACACAATAAAAATGGGCGAAAGATACCAAATGCCATTTCACAGTCTTAAGCCTTCATGGTTAACATCTAAGGACTGATTATGTACTAAGTACTAAGCTCTTTGCATATGCTTATCTGATTTTTAAAAAAGATTTATTTATTCATACAGAACTGGGGTACAAGCTAGAGGTTCAGGGGCGGTGAGAGGCTTCACCAGAGACAGAGTGGGGAGCAGAACAGGCAGACTGATGAAGTACACTGCTGAGGGGAGCAGCGGGCGGGTCAGGAGAAGTCTGCCGCGCCCTGTGGGTCACCTCTGGGGCGGGGGATTGAACTCACACTGAAGCTGTTGTGGCAGTTTGTAGTGCTACGCCCTAACCTGTTGCACCACCAGGGAGGGCCCTACGTTTATCTAATTTTTACAATCAGCCTTTGAGGTAGGTATCATTGTTTAGATTATGCAATAAGGGCTGATTAGGTAATTTAATCTTCTAGTTAATGAATGTTGGACTGGGATTTAGACTCAGGAATTTGTGTTTTTATTGCCTGTATTTTATACTATTTAAACCTATACCTTTCTTATACAAGTCTTGTGTGTGGACAAGACTTCCTATGGCTGACTCCAACCAATGTGCACTATATTTGCTGTTTTTCTCCTTTCCAGATCCATTGATGAGATGAAACGGTTGGAAGAAATGTCATGTATGTTTCAGAACTCTGGAGTTAGACGGCAACTTCCAGAACCAAATCCCCAAACAGAAGGGAATGAAGATTCAGGGGACAGAGAACAACCATGGGAAATGGTGATGGATAAGAAACACTTTAAGCTGTGGCGGCGCCCAATTATAGGCACACACCTTTACCAGTACAGAGGTGAGACCAGCCTGACTGCCTTGTGAGTGTGTCCTGTGGTCGCCCAGGTGTGCAGAATTTCTATTCCTCATACATCTCTAAACTGTTATATTCTAATTTCTTAGAAAAGTTGCCATGGTTTTTTGTTATTCCTCTCCAAGGTGACAAAGCTGTGTCTTCTTTGCTGGGCTTTCCTGTAGGTTGTCTTCATCTTATTTTACTGCCTGAATATGACTTCTAGTTGAGAATTTGTCTTTAAGATCTGTTTGTACTCTATAACTGAAATACAATTAAGTCCTAAGAATAAGATGGTGTTGAGAGTATAGCAAACATAACCTTTTTCTTTCCTGTCACTCTAGTTTTTGGAACCTACACAGATGTGACTCCCCGGCAATTCTTCAATGTTCAGGTGAGTAAATTTTTCATCCTAAATTTGGAGCCTTGAAGCCTAGAACCCAGTTACCATTGTTCACAAGAATAATTTCTTTGATTTAGGTGACAAGCTTCAGTACACCTGTCTGCTATACTCCTTGTCTTACAGTCCACATCATAGCTGGTAAACATTTGACTTACAATGGAGGATGGGAATGAAACTGATTCTATGCCCTCTTAGGACTTTTGGGAAGATCATATCAAGGAGTAGACTTGTGTACTTTTTTTTTAATTTTTTTTTTTGTTAAAGATTTATTTATTTATTCGTACAGAACTGGGGTACAGGCCAGAGATGCAGAGGGTGAGAGGATTCACCAGAGACAGAGTGGGGAGCAGAACAGGCAGATCGACGAAGTACACTGCTGAGGGGAGCAGCGGGCGGGTCAGGAGAGGTCTGCCTCGCCATGTGGTCACCTCCAGGGCGGGCGGGGATCGAACTCATGCGGAAGTGGCTTAAGCTTCTTAGTGCTGTGCTTTAACCCGCTGCGCCACCAGGGAGGGCCGACTTGTGTACTTTTAATATATTTAGGAGACATTATAATTTTTTTCCTAAACAATTTTGCACATATCATGGCCATTTATTCTTAAATCCTTCCATGTGTATTTTTTTTTAAAAGATTTATTTATTTATGCATACAGAACTGGGGAACAGGCCAGAGGTGCAGGGGTGGCGAGAGGATTCACCAGAGACAGTGGGGAGAGAACAGGCAGATTGACGAATTACACTGCTGAGAGGAGTAGTGGGTGAGACGAGAGGTCTGCTATGCCATGTGGGTCACCTGCCTGCCATTGAACTTGTGCTGAAATGGCTGCAGCTATATTCACAGTGCTGTGCTTAACCCATCGCACAACTAGGGAGGGCCCCCATGCATTTTCTTTTTTCTTTGTGTGTGTTTGTGTGTGTGTGTGTTACCCCAACTTTATTGCTATATCATTGACTTGTAACAATGTATTAGTTTTAGATATGTAATTATTTCTCACTGTCTCACACACACACATATAAACATACATCACAAAGTGATTACTCCAATAGATCTAGATAATATCCATATGTGTTAATATATATTTTATGTGGCATAATTTAAATATTATAGTTCAAGTAGCCTCAAACAAAAGCATCTGTCGATGTGACTTCCATTCCTAACAAGAACTATGTATAGTAATTTTTTTGTAATATGTACATAGTGTTTATTTTTAATTTATTTTTTACATCATTCTTCATTTTGTGTATTTTATCATCTCAGTTGTAATCCCCTTGGACTTCCCACCACCAGTTCACCCCTGTGCCATCACCATGGTCCTGTGCACTCTTCCCACCCCACTCCAGTTTTGATCCTTATACCCCTCTCCATCTCTACCCCCATAAAATGTCTCTGGTTTATAGTTGTTCATTGTTTTTCATTTTTTCTTTATGCCAATTATTTTTTTCCTGTGTCCCTTATGCTCCTGCTATGAGCAAAGCCATCCAGTATTTTTCATTTTCTTTCTGGCTTATTTCACTAAGATGATCCCTTTCAGCTCTATCCATGTTGATGCAAAAGGCATGTGTCTATCCTTTTTTTTTTGATTGCAGAGTAATATTCCATTGTGTATATATATCACATCTTTTTAATTCAGTCATCTGTTTTTGGGCATTGGGTTGATTCCACATCTTCCCTGTTGTAAATAGAGCAGCAGTTGACATGGGATTGCAGGTGTCCTTTGAGTCAGTGTTTTTGTGTCCTTTGGATAGATAACTGGGAGTGGGATTGCTAGTTCCCAGTTGTGTTTTCTAAGTAAACATGGCACTGTTACCAAAGTCAGAAAACTTAACAGTGATACAATACTCACTAATCTTTTGTTTGTATTTCAGTTTTCTCTGTTGATTTAGTATTGTCCTTTATAGCATTTTCCCCGGCAGGATTTAGTAATCTGAAACATTTCCACAGTGAAAATATTTATTGAGTAAAGGTGGAGAGGATTAGTCTAAAGACTGCTTTTCTCCTTGGGGGTTTGGAATATATGAAGATAGGAAGTGAGATTACCTGGGGTTCTACTATAAAATTTTTTTTTAATTTTAATATTTTTTGCTGGTCATTTATGAGCTAGTTTAAGTGTCATATGGTGTTATATTTTTGTTGATTTGAATGTATATATTTTATTTTGAAATTCCTTAGCCACTAGTGATGTTAGAAATTAAATTAATGCTACTTGCATTTCTCTTAATTTTTGTAGTAACATAGTATTGTAACGTAGAGGTTTCAGATGTCACCATCATACATCATTTGTGTATGCTATATTAACTTCACCAATAAAGTCCCCTGTTTTCCTTCACCATACATTTGACCCTTTTTACCTGATTTATTCTCCATCTTTTCCCTGCTACTTGCATTTCTTTATGTGAGGTGTATGTTTACAATTTTGGCTCCTTGTCTGTTTAAAACGATTTAGAATTTCACCATCAACAAATGTGTCATTCTTTCTCCAGACACATCTTGCATTATTACAATATTTTTTTCTTAGGTTTGTCTTTTTTTTTTTTTTTTTTAAGATTTATTTATCCATGCAGGACTGGGGTACAGGCCAGAGGTGCAGGGGTGGTGAGAGTATTCACCAGAGACAGAGTGGGGAGCAGCACAGGCAGATGGACAAAGTACACTGCTGAGGGGAGCAGTGAGTGGGTCAGGAGAGGTCTGCCGTGGTTTGAACTCACACTAAAGTGGCTGTATCCAGCTTGCAGTGCTGCATTCCAATCTGTTTCGCCACCAGGGAGGGACCCTTAAGCTTGTCTTTTTATTATTAAGATTCGCTTTCATTGTAAGGGTATTGTCCTAGGAGAAGGGATTTTAAAAGGCTTCTCCGTAATAAACATTGTCGAGTCTTTTCTACTTTGACACTGTCTCTTAAGTCAGATCACTGTTGCAAAATAAGACCCTTGGATCAGAGGCAGCCTAAGCATTTGGAGTCTTCATGATGCTCTTTATTTTTGCAGCTGGATACAGAGTATAGAAAAAAGTGGGATGCCCTGGTAATCAAGCTGGAAGTAATTGAGAGGGATGTGGTTAGTGGTTCTGAGGTTCTTCACTGGGTAACCCATTTTCCTGTAAGTATTTTTCTTTCTGGTTGACACTTTTACCATGTCCATGTGAGATATAACACTAATCTTGCCTCTCTATTTCTTTAGTATCCAATGTATTCACGGGATTATGTTTATGTTCGGCGGTATAGTGTGGATCAAGAAAACAACGTGATGGTGTTGGTGTCACGGTATGTGAGATTGTTTCCTGTGGTATTGTACCTGTAGTAATGCCCTTCATTCATGTATATTTTATGTGGGGGCCTATGTATTCTTAGTGCCCTTATGATTCCCCCACAGAGTTCATGCAGCCATGACCTCATCCATCCCACCTGAAATTTAGTGGACTGTGACTGGTGATATCTAGAAATATGGAAGGGGTGTAAACTTTTAACTAGACCATTTTTAAAGTTCTTTAGTGTTAGTTATTTAAAAAAAAAAAAAAAAAAGAAGTGCTGTCTTCAACACAGAGTGAGGCAAGAACCACCAAAGAAGCTACTGTGTTTTAGAACTTAATTTCATCTTAGTGACTCCTGTTGTATTTTTTAAATTAGAACCAATATTTTAGATTGTCCTCTTCACTTCAGCTCTTGTATCATTTGTAGACAGTAATAAGAGTTTCCTTAATTTCCCCTTTACCAGTGCTGTGGAACACCCAAGTGTGCCAGAGTCTCCGGAATTCGTAAGGGTCAGATCATATGAATCCCAAATGGTTATTCGTCCCCACAAATCATTTGATGAGGTGAGTTTTGCATCACCCAAGAGGTGATTTGTAGAGGGTTTGGAATTTCCACAAGGAATGCCTTTTATCTGAACCAGGGAGGATGTGGGTTGTGTAGGGCAGTGGTTCTCAAACTTGGCATGTTTGAGGTACTGGAGCTTGTTAAAAGACATTGGAATATGGCCTAAGAATTGCATTCCTAGGAAGTTCCCAGGTAAGAATGATGCTGCTGGCCTGGAAATCACCCTTGGGGAACCCTTGCTCTTTGGGGTGATAGAGCTGGAAGATTCCCCAAAACACATCGTAATGATCCATTGACTCCATTGACCTAATAGACACTTGTGAGAAGTGTCTGACTCAGTTGTTCTGTCCTTGGCAGCAGCATTCTCTGAACAGAAACACGTAAAACCTTTCTGGATTTCTGTTTCCTTGCCCCCTTTAATAAAATGAAAGGGTATGACTGATGCACTCTGTCTTCCTTAGAATTCTGTGACCTTTCTTTGAGAATTTTTTCTTTACTTAGTGGGGTTTTCTTATTTTTATAACCAAATCTCTGTTGGATGTACATACCAATTCCATTGTTCAGCTTCATTTTTTTTTTTTTTTTTTTGTATAATAGTTTCTTTTAACATCATTTTGTGCATTTTTCCAACTCAGTTGCAATCCCTTTGGGCTTCCCATCACCGAATCACCTGTGTGCCATCACCACAGCCTTGCATTTCCCTCCCCCCACTGTTTTTGATCCCATTCCCCACTCTACCCCCATAAAATGTCTCTGATATATAGCTGTTCATTATTATTACTACTTTCTCACCTGGTCTTTTATACTCCTGCTATGAGTGAAACCATCTGGTATTTTTTCTTTTCTTTCTGGCTTATTTCACTAAGCATGATCTTCTCCAGCTCCATCCATGTTGCTGCAAAAGACATGTATTTATTTTTTTGGTTGCTGAATAATACTCCATTGTGTATATGGACCACATCTTTTTAATCTAGTCATCCACTTTTGGGCGTTTGGGCTGTTTCTGTGTCTTTCCAATTGTAAGTAAGACATCAGCTTCATTTTTTTTTTTTTAAAGATTTATTTATTAATGCATACAGAACTGGGGTAAAGGCCAGAGGTGCAGGGGCAGTGAGAGACAGAGACTGGAGACAGAGTGAGGAACAGAACAGGCAGATTGACGGAGTACACTGCTGAGGGGAGCCCCCGGTGGGTCAGGAGAGGTCTGCCAGGCCATGTGGGTCACCTCTGAGGTGGGCATCGAACTCAAGCTGAAGTGGCTTTAGCTTCTTAGTGCTGTGCTTTAACCCACTGTGCCACCAGGGAGGACCCTCAGCTTCATTTTATAATGGCTTTGTTTCTCCCTCTTGCTTCTGTTTTCTTTAGAGCTATATGAATTGTGTTTTTTAGATTGATTTTCTTGTTTTCATTGAGATATTTTATTTATACCAAGGAAAATAAGACTGTGACTAAGAAACAATGGTCCATCTCAGTCAGTGTGAAGTTTAACTCTGCTAAAAGAACTGTTTACTACTGCACTATTTTTAGAATAATATTCAAACTGGATTACTATTTATGAATGGAAGCCAAAATTAATTTAGTTCATTATGACCAGCTTACAAAAAGAACAGAATAGAAACTGTATAAACATCTTTCATGAGACTTGGTTAGTTACATAAATATGTGTGAATGTCTCTGAGAGGCTGAGAGAGCTGCGTTGCATTGAAAAAGAAGTTAATTTACAGTGTGATGTAGTTTAAGATGTTTGAAAGTCCTTGCTTTAGAAAGTAGGAAACAAAAAAGGCTGCATTCAGTGGCTAATTGTCTTTAGAAAGGGATGTCTGGGTTAGGATCAGGATCAATGTGGGAGGCTGACTATAAATTATAAACATTGGGGTTATATATGGGATCCTCAAGACTGCTCACATGTTCAGATATGTGATGTGCTAGACTCACAGGATTCAGCATATAGTACTCGTGACTAAGATTTATTAAAATGACATAGTAAGGATACATACCCAGATTTATTTATTTATTTATTTATTTATTTATTTATTTATTTATTTATTTATTTATGCATGCATGCATGCATGCATGCATGCATGCATGCATACAAGAACTGGGATACAAGTTAGAGGTCTTGAGGGTGGCAGCGGTGGTGGTGAGAGGATTCACCAGAGACAGGAGAGGTCTGCTGTGCCATGTGGGTAGCTCCCTGGCCAGGGAGCCAACTTTTACTGCAGTGTTTGTGAATAGCTTCATAGTGCTGAGAGTTAACTCCCTGCACTACCAGGGAGGTCCCATACCCAGATTTAAGGGAAGCCATATGCAGAGTCTGAAAAACCCACACAAAGACTTCCTCGTGCCCTTTCCTGTGAGGAGTCACAACACATTCTTCCCTCAATAATGAAAATGCAGCAGTACGAGTTATGCTTCTGCCTAGAGAAGCCCATTTAGAGACTTGGCACTCTAGAATTTTTGGGGGGCTGATCGCATGGGCATGTTCATTCCAGACCTTTGGGGCAAAAGCCAGGTGTTCAACACAAACCACATTGTTTGCACAAACATAGGAAGGCCAGTGGGTCATCCTCAGCAGTAACTTGACAGGGAACTCTGGTAGCTAAGTTCTCAGACTCCAGCTGAAGGCCAGCCTTGCAAGCAGGTATTTTATTTTATTTTTAATTTTTATTTTTTAATTTTTATTTATTTTATTATTTATTTATTTATTATTTTTTTATAAGTTTATTTTTACATCATTTTGTACATTTTTTTTTCCATCTTAATTGTAATCCCCACGGGTTTCCCATCACCAAGTCACCTGTGTGCCATCACCATAATCCTGTGCACTTCCCCCTGTTTTTGATCCCATTCCCTACTCCACCCCCACAAAATGTCTCTGGTATATGGCTGTTCATTATTCTTGTTATTTTCTCGCCTGCTTACTCCTCAAGCAGGCCTTTTAAAGGCTATCAAGTCTTCAGTGTTAGCTCTTTTTTGTACAGGTTGAAAAATGGCACTCTGCCCCAGAATTAGATCATGATTATTGTGTGGTATTGGAGATAAAGGTTTTGATGGCTAATTGAAGTAACTTTATGTTTGCTGTTTTCTTTTCCAGAATGGCTTTGACTATTTGTTGACATACAGTGATAATCCCCAGACTGTGTTTCCTCGATACTGTGTTAGTTGGATGGTTTCCAGTGGTGAGTGGGTACTTTATTATAGGTGCTGCAATTGGGGCTGAGCATTTGCTTTTCTCTAGTTTCTTAATAGCAGTAAGATTAATATTTTTCTTGCTGGAACCCTGTTGGGTAAATTAAACCTTTTTCTGATGTCATTTCTGAATACTACGAAGATATCAAAACGTTTAGCTGAGGTTTGGAGGGATGAGAATTTTAGAGTTTCAGAAAGAAAACTTGTCCCCAGAGGGTAGTTTTTAGAAGAATATTTGCTTGTTCTTGGTGTGAGGTTTTAAGAGCTAATGTAGAAATACAGTTCTAGACAGTTATGTAGAGCAAGGGGCTGCCCATCATGACTGTAACTGCACCTTTGTTTCCCAGCTTTCTACTTTGAAAAGCATCATCATGTGATTTTCTTGTTTTCTGGTTCTCTGTATATAGGTAACTTCTGATATCAGTTGGAGGGATGGAGAGATTAGGTTTTCCTATTTGACATTTGTCTACATAAAATTGGCAAGTATTTATGCTATGCCATTGTGATATATTAATCATCTGAAGGAGAGCCTTTTGGGGCTTTACATGGCCTAGTCAGTACACTACTCTTTTTCAAAGGATTAGTGGTCATGGGTTATTTTACTTTTAGGAGGCAGCTGTCACTCCCAAGTTATCAACCTGGGTGTTACCTCCACTAGGAAGAATTAGGTCTCTACTCTCAAAGAAATTGGGCCTTCTAACTTTGTGCTTGCAGTTTGTATATATGCCTACCCCAATTTTTCTTTCTTCTGACAGGTATGCCAGATTTCCTGGAGAAGCTGCACATGGCCACTCTGAAAGCCAAGAACATGGAGATCAAAGTAAAGGACTATATTTCGGCTAAACCTCTAGATATGGGCAGTGAAGCCAAGACCACCTCTTCATCATCTGAGCGGAAGAATGAGGGTAGTTGTGGCCCTGCCCGCATCGAGTATGCTTGAAGGGCTTTGGGATAAGAAGAGACAGGCTTCTTGTGGTCCTGCCCTGGTCACTGATCACTCTGCTACAGAATGGGGACATTTGTGTGCTATAACTACAGGTGCAAGATAATTCAATAACTGGTGTCCAGTGTCATTCAGAGCCCTTAATTGCTCTTTATCGAAACAGAGAGAAGGAGGTGTCCTTGGAGACTTTGTCATAGTAGGCCAAGCATTTTGAATTTCAGTATTTCATGGGCTAATCTGGAACAAGCCTTTCACTTCAGGCTAGACGGGGCTGACTGCTGTTTGGTTTTCCTGAGTTTCCTCTGCCAACATTCCAGTTCCCACCACTGGTCCTGTTGCAGTTTTGGATGTCCCTCAGCTCTGAAGGTCCAACTGGGAAGTGCATTTGGCCGGTTGAGTCTTTCAGTGAGGGATCATGGGAATGCTCTTGGTAACTGTTCTAGTGTTGAATGGGTGCGAACTGTTGCTTGGCAGTACAAGTGCCTTGTCTTCAATTTGTTTCTCTCTTTTGGGATATAAAGATTGTACCAAGAAGGTTCTTCTTTCAGCCTCTTTCTACCACCCCTTTGACTTATCTTGCCCAAACAGTTTCCTTTGATTTGGCCATTTTCTGTATTTATGCACTGTATTCATTTGGATCACTGCCTCCGTCTAGGCCTTAGTATGCTTACCAAGAACACTAGGAAATGAAGTCTTTTTAGACAATAATTTTCTGTATCATCAGTGTTTTAATAGGGTTGATGGAGATACTCAAAATGCCACATTTAAATTTAGTTCAATTTGTGTGTGTGTTTTAATCTCTGTTTCAAAAAAGTAGGAATTGGGGGAGCTGACTGAGATGTTTCCATAGTCACACTGCATAGAAAACACTATTTTGAGTCAGGCATGATTTTTCACACTTCAGGTTTGACTGGATGCTGAGGACTTATCCATCTTGGAAGGCAGAGGGATGGGGGTTGGGCCGCTCGCTTGGAACTCTCAGAGCTGCAGAAAAGCTCTGTGAATGAATAGATGAAATCTTGCCCCACATACTAACATATTGGGGTTGTGGTTTATATCTCTTATTTACCTGAACTTTCCCCCTCCTTTCTTCAAAGCTAGAGTAAAAGCCTCCTTACTGATGGAAGTCACAGTCAGATGGTATTGGTTTGGGCTGGTTGGTTTGACTTATGATTATGCTCCAATCTGTCAGGGGAACAGGGATCAAATTTTAAATCCTCCTCTCTTCTTTTTTCTCAGAGCTTAAATGACCAGATTTTCCCTTTTTTCTCTGCTAGCTTCCCTTTTGTGTTATTGAGAAAGGGATCTAAATCTGAGACTGATTTAAACCCTTGCTGATGCCTGTTAAATTTTGTGCCAAGGAAATAACAGTTCCAGTGTTTCATGTCTTTTCTTTGAATGGTTAGCAGGGCAGAGATGCTTTGAGCTGTTCCAGCTTCTTTTCATTGATTATTTCTCTCTTCTCATCCCCAGAACCTGACAGAAGGCAGGGAAGAGTCCTTGTGTTATATGTTGGTGCATGGAAGGGTGTGATTGTGTGAGTGTGTGTGTGTGTGTGTGTGTGTGTGTGTGTGTGTGTGTGTGTAGGTATTAAGGAACTGTGTGTTGCTTTTTTGATTTTATGCAATTTTGACTGCACTTGGGGCCTGTCTGTATAGTTACTTATGTCATTGTAATGATTTCACTCCTCTAACTGTGACATTTTTATCGAATGTGTGAATAAATACATAAAGATTGGTACAAAAGTGTTTGTCTTTTGACAAGGTGGTGGGAGCAAGAGCTTATTGAAGTTATTCTTGATTTTAAAGTTGAGGAGAAAGAGTGTTTCTTCTAATAAAGGTGGCATGTGGAAGTAGTGGGACTTGTTCTTTCTTGATAGTGGTTTACTACCTTTTGAGCCCTTCTCAGGTGATCACTTTGGCAACTGAAAATAAACCACTTCTACTTCCTTGTCTTGATCTACTAATCCATATCTTTCGTCTATAAAGAAGGATCAGTGTAAAGGAAACAAAGTTAGAGCTTAGCTGGTAGTAAAACTTGGGAGAAGGGAGAAAAGCAGCAGGTCTGAAGTTGTGGGGGAGCAATTTGGTACCCCGGTTGAAGAAAGGGTAAAATTCTGAGCCCAAACCCATTTAGTGGGTAATACACAGGGGCAGTGCTAGAATGCAGATATGTTTAAAGGAAGTGAGATTAGAAAACAATGAACGTTACCTAAGTTTATGTCTGATTTTTGCCTGTGTGGAACACAAACACCCAAACAATTAGTTTTCCCTTCAGATTGTGTTAATGATAATCACTAGAAAGATCTCCACTTACGACTCTTTGCCAGAGGTGGTAAAAAGAGAATACCCATCTATATAATCTTAATTTGGAAATTCCAGCCTCTGCCTGCCAGAGAGTACCCTGGATGGAACCCCTCATTTTCACCAGATTCTGCATGAACACCTTCCAGTCAGTAGCAGTGTCACCTTATAGTTCAGTCCTGGCCTTCAGGACATTTTTTATATTGAGACCAAGTGTCTTCTCTGTCTACCAGCGGTTGTCTAACCCAGGTATCCTTGGGGCAATAGCTTCCGTGGGCTTGTGTTTCACATTCTATGAAGCCCGCAGCTTTTCTCAACTTTCATGTTGTCATAGCTTCAGGAGTGAAAAAGAAATCTTTCAACTTTTTATTTTGAAACTTTTCATTCATATTGGAAAGTTGAAAAGAAAAATAATAAAACCTTGTACCCTTCCCCTACCTTTGCTATAGACATTTTGCTATGGATAGAACTGTGTCCTCTCAATTCATATGCTGAAGCCCTGAACCCAAATTTTTGGGCATTTGGAGACAGGGCTGTTGGTCCATCCTGGGGTCCCAGGATGGGATTAAGACACTAGACTAGGCTTGTGCATTCTCTTCATGGTGGGGGCGTAGGAGGCAGCTGTCTGAGGCCAGGGAGAGCGCTCTCCAAGACAGCGTGCTGGCACATTAATCTTGGCCTTGTATAGCTGTCAGAGCTGTCATTTAAGCCACCCTACTTATGGTATTTTGTAATGGCAGCCCAGTGGACTGACTCCTTCACCATTTAAAGTAGATGCAAATATGACACTCTTAACACCTGAGTGTGTTTTTTAGTAATAAGAATGTTCTGTGTGCTCTTACTACCATTAGCACATGAGGTCATATTGAATTCAGTCCATATATACATTTCCCCAATCACCTTTCTAAATGACTTAGAGAGTTCCCCTCTGGACAAGGCTGAGATCCAGTCAGTATTGTGCTGTCTGTTTTTTTAGTCAGTAACTACATAGCTAAGTCAAAAATAGCCTGTTCTTACTGAATCTTAGGGCAGTATTGCCACAGTGGGATAGCTTTGGCTTCCTAGAAGTTCTTTATATTACTTATACCAAGCATACCCCTTCATGAAGTGTACATTACAAAAGAAGCTGCATTTGTAATACAGTTCATGGGTACTTTAGATAATGTAGTACAGTGCCTTAAACTTTGCTGCACCTGGGAGCTTTAAAAACTCATGTGCCTGAAGGCCACTCTAGGCCAATTACTTCAGTACTGCCAAGCGAAAGTGGTCAGTATTAATGCAGCCCAAAGGACACAGGAATAGGCATCTGCACACTAGTACAAGCTAAGGTGTCATTATTGTCACTGTTGCCTTATGTTGGCTCAGGAGCAACTAATAATTGCTGTGGTAACTGAGCACTGGCTGTGCTGGACCCTGCTTCATGCTTTCCTACTGTTTCATCTAGTCCTACCTGTGAGCATTTAGCTATCCTTATTTTATAGGTGAAGAAATGGCATCATTTCTTGAGTAATCTTCTTGCTCAAGGTCACACAGGAAGTGACAGCCACGATGCAGGCCTAGCTTTGACCTCTCCAAGGATGACTAGCGGTCAGACTTACCTTAGTTGACTCTGGAACTTGTGAAAGTGATCTTAGTGTAAAATGTGCTTCCCACAGTCAATGGTCACTTGGAGAGTCATTCCAAAAGAACCCCCAGGCCTCTTACTGCCACAGTTTGTTTAATAACATCATGGTTGTGGGGCCTCACTGGTGAACCAGGGGTTAAAGCAATAGCACTGTGAAGCTTTCTGAAGCCACTGCAGTACCATTTTGATCCCTTGCCAGACAGCTGACCCACATGGTGTGGCAAACCTTTCCCATCTTGCCTGCTGCTGCCCTCAGCAGTGTATCCTTATATCTGCCTGTTCCCCACTCTGGTGAATCCTCTTACCCCTGCATCTCTGGCTTGTACCCCCATTTGTATACGCATAAATAAATAAATCTTTAAAAAAACAAACACCATGCTTGTTTCTGGTCTACAAATGCACTTAAAATTTTTTCAAATAGACAACATAAATTACCTAACTTTATTATCTACTTTTTAAAAAAAGATTATGCATACAAAACTGGGGTACAGGCCAGAGGTGCAGGGGCAGAGAGGATTCACCAGAGGTAGAGTGGAGGTGCAGATCAGGCCTACTGACGAAGAACACTGCTTAGGGGAGCAGCGGGTGGGTCAGGAGAGATGTGCCGAGCCATGTGGATCACCTCTGGGGCAGGGGATTGAACTCATGCTGAAGTGGCTCTAGCCTTTTAGTGCTGTGCTTTAACCCACTGTGCCACCAGGGAAGGCCCTGTTATTTACTTTTTTTTTTTTTTAAAGATTCATGCATACAGAACTGGGGTATAGGTCGGAGGTACAGGAGCAGTGAGAGGATTCACCAGAGACAAAATGGGGTGCAGAACAGGCAGATCGATGAAATCAACAGGGGTGACAGGAGAGGTCTGCTGCTGTCTCCCTGGCTAGGGATCTAACTCTTGAAGTGGCTGTGGCTAGCTTCGTAGTGCCTCCAAGGAGGGCCCTATTAACTACTTTTAAAAAGCCCAACCACACCTAAAAAGGTAATGAATATTTGGAAGTAGCGACATTTGGATGTTATAGACCCTCATTTATTAAATGATGAGTTAGGGTTATGTTCAGTAACAGTAACAGGCACTTAAAACATGGTTGAAACAAGACTAGTGTCTTCTTGTGAGTGTAGCTAGCACAGGACATGTATGGTAACTATAGTCCCTCCACACCAGGGCTCCTGTGGTTTTATCCCAGCTGTATCACATGGGGTGGAATCACAGGGGGTAGTCTCGGGTAAGGCGCAAGCATTGTGTTGTTAAGTTCCCCATGGCCCCTAAATTACAATACATTTTAAAAATGGGTGGCGAAGTGGTTGAAAGTATGGATTCAGGAGCAAAATTGAGTGTAACCTTGAACCAGACCTTTTTTTAAAAGATTTTTTTCTTCATGTATATAGCTGGGGTACAGTCCAGAGGTGTGGTGAGAGGTGAGAGGATTCACCAGAGACAGAGAGGGGAGCAGAACAGGCAGATGTACTGAAATACACCGCTGAGGGGAGCAGCGGGTGGGCCAGGAGAGGTCTGCTGTGCCATGTGGGTCACCTTCCTGGCCTGGGATTGGACTGGTGCTGCCATGATTGCAATAGCTTCATAGTGCTGTGCTCCAACACACTGCACCACTTTGACAGTGAGCTGAACCTCTTGCTACTGTAAAAGAGGAATTAGAATATTTACTTCATAAAGTTGTGAAGATTAACTAAAAATAATACATGTAAATTACTTAGAATGATTTTTGGACATAACACTTAATATATTTTAGTGACTTTACTTCCTCTTGACTATTTCTGGATTTACTATAGATGCCAATGTCCTTCCTAAAGTGTGGAGTCCAGGATTGGACACAACTCTGTTCCCTGACAGGTAAGTGCCGTGAGGATGGGGATTGCTCAGTGCCTGCTGAGTCCTCAGCCTGGCAGCCTGCTCTGCCTCCAGCCATCATGTCTGTTCCACCAGTGGGAAGGTGCAAAGGAGAGAAGACAACATCTCTCTGGGGACACCTCCCAGAATGGCACTTCATGTCTGCTTTTGGCCCGATAGCTAGAGATTTGTTAAAAGACCCTACCAGCTGCTGTAAAATCCCCGGTACTTTACGCAGCCATCCCTCCAGTTAAAATCCAGAGGTAATTTTAAAAAAAGATTTATTTATTTATGCATACAAGAACTGGGATACAGGCCAGAAATGTGGGGTGGAGGGAGAGGATTCACCAGAGACAAAGTGGGGAGCAGAACAGGCAGATCAACTGAAATACACTTCTCAGGGGGACCCCCCGGTGAGACGGGGTGAGGTCTGCTGCGCCATGTGAGTCAGCTCCCTGGCTAGGGATTGAACTCTAGTTAGTGCTGAGTTGATAGTGCTAAGACTCAACACCTTGCACCACCAGGGAGGCCCCAGGAGTAATTTTTCTCAGGAAGAAGAGAATGGTAATGGGGTAACCAACAGGCTTTGTCAAATTCTAGATAAAACATACCTACAATTTTGAGTGTATCAATTTAAACACTCTGGATCAGTTAACAAGGGAAAATTGCCAGAGATTTCCTAGTTTACTGGGGCCAGTGTAACAAACTACCACAAACTGTGCCATAAGCAACAGAAATTTGTTCTCTTGTTTCTGGAATCTGGTTTCTGAGACCAAGGTCTCATCAGGGTTGGTTCCTCCTGAAAGCTGTAGAGGAGAATCTGACCATGTCTCTTTCCTACCTTCTGGTGTTTGGTGGCCATCTTGGATGTTCCTTGATAGAGGCTCCCCCTGACCTCTGCCTTCACCTTTACATCTCCCTGTGTGCATGTCATTATTCAAAATGCCCCCTTTTGGTAAGGACGTCCATCAGATTAGATTAGAAGTGAACTCTAGTGTGACCTCCTCTTACCCAAACTATTTAAATAAGATCAGGTCACATATGCAAATAAGATGAGGTACTGGTGGCCCTCCCTGGTGGTGCAAGGGGCTAAGTGTAGTGTTAGCACTACCAAGCTATCCGCAGCCACTGCAGCACTAACTTACTACCTGGCCAGG